TGCAGCTTTTGCTGCTGCTGCTGCTGCTGCTGGCCTTGCAGCGCTGCTGTATATCGTCTCTACTGCTGCTGCATATGCTGCTGCTGAACCTTCAGCCACGCTTTTGCTGCACTTGTTTCCTCACTTTTGCCGCTCCTTCAGCCGCATGTCATTTCACTGGGGATAAAGCCTCTGTTTTATATGTTGCTGCTGGTGCTGCTGCTGGGCTGCTGTGCGGGTAGGCTGAGGCGGAGGAACTGCTGCAGCGCCACGGGGGCCACTTTGGCTACAGCGCGTTCTTTGAGTCCGTCAGGGACAAAGTGCTAAATGCTACTCACAGGCTCATGCGGTTCAAGACAGATATTATTGCAGCTGTGCAGCAGCAGCAGCAGCAGCACTTGCTACGGCAGCAAACGCAGCAACAGTGGCTTACCTTTGGCCCCCACACCCTCTCGGCCTCGTCCACTGCAGAGTCTTTCTCCGTTTCTCCCTTCAAGCCTGACTACGTCCAGTCTACTGCATCACTACAAGCAGCAGCAGCAACAACAACAGCAGTTGGAATTCCAGTCCCTCAGAAGCAGCAGCAACAGGGGCTGCTGCTGCACGACCCACAGCAGCAAGATTTACTGTTGGCTGACGGCAGAAGGATAGCTACAAACATCATCTTAAAGGCTAGATCTCTTGCGGCAAAAAGGTCACCAGCAGAGATGGAGGCCTTGCTGCTGCACTACAACGGCGCTAAGCAACAGCAGCAGAACCAGCAGCAGCCACAGCAGACCTGTTGCAACTTCGCGACAGCAGAAGAGGCCCTGAAGCTCTGCGATGCCACCGCCTCTCTTGTGGCAGCAGAAAACTCGCTGCTTGAGGTAAACTGAGGGGCTAGGGGTTTCAGAAGTAGGGCTTGGAGTTTCCAGTTCCAAAACTTCTAGGGTTGTAGGGCTTACGCTGATCGTGAGTCAATTATTTCTTTTGAGTAGTTGTAGCAGCAGCAGCAGCAGGTTATGTCCCCGACCTCGGGAGCTTTCCACAAACGGCTTCTAGGTTGCTGACTCCTTATTCTGGTGGTGCTGCCTTCGCTGCTGCTGCTCCTGCTGCAGCTGGAGCTCCCGCTTCGGGTGTACGGCGATCTGCACGGCCAGCTCGTGGACTTGTTGGATTTTTTCGGTTCCTTCGGCTGGCCTGAAGATTTGATTTCGGGCCTCGGGTGTTCTCTGTTATTTTTGGGGGACTTTGTGGACCGCGGCATTTTCAGCTGCGAGGTGCTGCTGCTGTTACTCTCCTTCAAAGTACTTGTAAGTGCGCCCTGCCCGCACCTGGCTACCTAACTAACTAGCTAGCCACCTAGCTAGCTACATAGCTAGTCACGTAGCTAGCTACCTAGCTTGCTACCTAGCTAGATACTGGCTGGGCGTGTGGCTAGCTAGCACGCTGCGCTTCTCACCAGCTAGGCGCAACTTCCCGTATTGATGGGTAGCCAGCCGTCTGCACTACCAGCTCCCCCAGGCGCTTGGTGGCTAGCTGCCTTCTCGTGCAGCTAGCTCGCTAGCGAGTTCTGTTGTCATCCATCTAGCTCGCACGCTAGCAAGCTGCCCACCTAGCGTGCTAGCTAGCTGCGTGGCTAGCTGTCTGCTGCTGTCTGCGGGCGCGCTGGCTGCAGTTCCCGGACAAGGTGTGGCTGCTGCGAGGAAACCACGAAGACCGCCCAATGAATTACATTTACGGGTTTTACGCGGAGTGCGTCAGCAAGCTGGGGGGCACAGAAGGAGAGGCTCTATGGAAAAGAGCCAACAGCTTGTTTGAGTTCTTGCCTCTTGCTGCTGTAGCCAGGGCAGATGGGCTCTTTTTCATTCACGGCGGCATAGGGGACAGCATAACTTCTTTGCAGCAGCTCAAAGAGCTCCAGAAGCCCATTACGGTGCCGCAGCACGTCGGTGAGGGCTTTGATGCTCCTGCTGGTTCTGCTTCTGCTGCTCGGCTGCTGTGTCCAGCTGTCCTGCTTCTATTCCTGCTACTACTGGGGCTGCTGGTGCCTGCGCCGCATCTCCATTTGCTGGTTCTCTTCTTCCGGCGCAGCACAGGCTGTTGCTGGTGCCGCCGCTGCCCCTGCGTATCTCTTTGCTGCTGTGACCACCTGCATCTGCCGCGGCTGCTGCTGCAGCTGCAGCTGCAAGACACTCTAGCGTCGGGCCTTCTGCGTGCAGACCGCAGCCAAAAGGACAACGACGACACCGTGATGAGGGCCTGTCGAATTATTGACTGTCTCTGGAGCGACCCCGTTAGCCCGGAAGAAGGCGAGGGAGAAAAGACAGAAAGTGTCAAGTCCAGCCGAGGCTGCAACACAGTCAGGTAACTAACTGTCTGTCTGCCTCCCCGCTTCGGGTGTACGTACACCTCAGCCGCCGCCCAGCCGCTGTCGCTGTTGCGCTGCTACGCTGCTGCGCTGCGCAGCAGCAGCTTCAAACCCCTCACAAGTCCATGCCGCAGTTCCGCAGCCTGTCTTTACTTGCTGCTGCGCCGTCGCCTCGTGGCCTTGGTGGTTGTTTTTGCTGCTTGCTGTTGTTTCTTTTGCTGCTGGGTATTTAAGTCTCTTAATGGCTGGTCTGTTGCTCCACTGCTCGCTCTGCTGCTGCTGTGGCTTCTGCCGGGTCTGTTGCCGCGCTGCTGCCGCCTTGTTGCTGCCAGCAAGCCCGGGCAAGCCCGCTGGCTGTGGCCTTTGCCTAGAGCTGCGGCTGCTGCTGTGCGGCTGCTGCTGCGGGGCCGC